GTATGCGAACAGGAAGTTTTGCCACTTAATTTTATATATATAGATTTACAACAAAACAAAGAGAAGAAAACACAAAAAATTATCGCAAAAATGTATACACAAAATATATACGGTAGCGAGAATGTGAATAGGAAAAACACATTTTAGCAAGTTTTGGCTACTTTTCTCTGTTTAAACAATTTGTATTATTTTTTTATGAAAACATGACTTACTATCTAAAAAAACATGTAACTCAAAATTTCAAACTTTGTAGAACATGTATGAAAATTCGCCGAATCTTAACAAATGTAGATCAAAATTTTAAACATTTTAATCCGTTTCCCTAGAATTGTTTTCAGTATCCAGTGAAATTTTTAAGTAGCTTGGTCTTACCGTTGCTTTTTGGCAATTTCGGTTCGCGAATTTTCTTCCATACAAAGTATGTTCAACGATTTCTTTGTATGGACAAAATGAGCAACACCTTCCACACTTGTGCACTTTGAATTGAATGGGCTACAAAACTGCAACTCAGGATGTTTCTAAGAAATCTAAATAAAAAGCTCAAAATTTGAATTAAACTGTGTCCAATTTTGCTAATGTTTTACAAAGTTTGAAATTTTGACTTACATAGATTTTGCCAGATCACGAGCTATACTTTTATAAAAAAATTATAAAAATCAAATAATCGAAAGAGAAAGAATAGCCAAAGAATGCAAAAATAATTCTTCCCTATTTATATTTTCGACACGTATCTACAGCTTATAATTTTCATATCCATGATTTTTTTGAGGAAAGGACTTAATATTCTTTTTTATAATTTCACTAAATTCAAGTTAGAAGCGTTTCATTAAAAATAAAACAATAAACTTAAAAAAAATTATAAATCCCTNTAGATTTTGCCAGATCACGAGCTATACTTTTATAAAAAAATTATAAAAATTAAATAATCGAAAGAGAAAGAATAGCCAAAGAATGCAAAAATAATTCTTCCCTATTTATATTTTCGACACTGTATCTACAGCTTATAATTTTCATATCCATGATTATTTTGAGGAAAGGACTTAATATTCTTTTTTATAATTTCACTAAATTCAAGTTAGAATCGTTTCATTAAAAATAAAACAATAAACTTAAAAAAAATTATAAATCCCCAAACAAATTAAAAGAATGACATACTGCAATACAGCGTGGGTTCAAGTTTGACAGAATAAAACATAACCAAAGATCATAGAAAATACGGATTCTGGCTATGATTACGGCTCCCTTATATTCTCTGTCCTCTGTGATAACGAAGGTGCTGCCACGTTTGTACGAAAAATTGTTTTTGGACCAGAGTACACAGAGACTCTTATTAAATTAATAAATAAAAAACCAAAAAGGCTGGACTTAATCGGTACAAATATGAAAAATGGGGACATTTATACGTCCCGACTTTTAAAAAATGTTCAGCCAGACAATTTTCTCAAAATCGGAACTGGCCCGCCAAAATCGGTACGAATGGTTACCCTAAGGACATATATGACCCTGAGTAAAAGCACGCAAGCCAGCAAAAAATTGCGGTATTACACAATTGAAATTTCAACCCTTTTTGATTTAGATTACATTTGCACATTTTTGTTAATAATTTCTTTTGATCCAGTAAAATTTTAGACATTCCCAAATTATTACTTTAAATATTTTACTATACATACTTACCGGAAACCCATCCAGTGACCATGCGAATTGCGGTAAAGGATTACCAGTTGCTACACATTTCAATGATACAGTCGGTCCTGGCTGCAGTGTTTGCTCCGAAAACCAATAANGACCCTGAGTAAAAGCACGCAAGCCAGCAAAAAATTGCGGTATTACACAATTGAAATTTCAACCCTTTTTGATTTAGATTACATTTGCACATTTTTGTTAATAATTTCTTTTGATCCAGTAAAATTTTAGACATTCCCAAATTATTACTTTAAATATTTTACTATACATACTTACCGGAAACCCATCCAGTGACCATGCGAATTGCGGTAAAGGATTACCAGTTGCTACACATTTCAATGATACAGTCGGTCCTGGCTGCAGTGTTTGCTCCGAAAACCAATAAAGCAATTCCGGAGAAGCGTCTAAGTAAAATAAAAAGCAAACATATATATGTAATTTCATTAAAGAATTGTAATAGGATTTAACGCATTTCAATTGTACTTTTTCCGACTTTTTCGAAACAAAAGGTTCATTCGGTACACTGAACTCAATTTAGGTACAATTAGACGATAGCCAAAGGAATATCCATATTTAAGACTACGTTGCTCGCGAAAAAAGAAATTTAAGAAAATTTTTGTAAGCAAGGAGAAATGGGCACTCATATATCATTGTGAACATGTCATTGGCAAAGTTCCTTTATTAAATTCTTTGCGAACAATGAAAAACTCCTAACGTTTTGAGGAATTTTAAGCAAAGTGGACACACTGCATGTGTGTCAATTTCAATTGGGAATGAGTTGAAAGTGCCAAAAATATAATTAAAGGCGGAAATATCTGTAACCTGAATGTACTCTGGCGGGAATTTATTCTTGCAACGATGGATAGGTAGTAAGTAAAATTTTAACTCAAGTTCGGCTGGCCACGAAGTACCACATTAGGTTTTGTATGAAAGGCCTGGTTTAGAAAATAGACCCAAATGCTTTATGTACGCAGTGCAATCTAGGCCAAATAGAAAGCCTTGAACTTCTGCTCTTCAAGTACCCAATTTATTATTTCTTTAGAGACTACTACCTAGGACCACTTCTATAAAAGTTTGAAAGCAATCCAATACAAATATTCCAATTGACCGACCAATTTAGTTAGCATGGTGTACCTCTATGTTGTTAACTGTTTGCGATTCAGAGCCAACATTTTAAATGCATAAATTGTGTAAACTAATGCCATTTTCTTAAATACTATTTTAAGTTTTTTCACTTTCACATGTAAACATGTAAACTCAAATGTAACTATCGGAAAGACTGCTAAAAACATACAGTTCATAAGCAGGGTTTAATAAAATGAATTAATGAATGATACCGAAAATTTTCTTTTATTTCAAAAAATATTTAGAGGTCGATCAAAGCGCTCAAAGTTTTCCATGTATTTTATATGGGGAAAAACAAGTTTTCGTAGAAATGGTATAAAATACTTGAAAATCAATATTTTTTGATCGGAAAACGTTTCTTCTCTTTAAGAGACTGCCAATTATAATACTCAATTGTTCTTTTCACCATTTCTAATAACAGCGATTTTTTATGGGTCCCCATTGGAATTTTTTTTGGGGTCCTATAAGAGANTTTTCGTAGAAATGGTATAAAATACTTGAAAATCAATATTTTTTGATCGGAAAACGTTTCTTCTCTTTAAGAGACTGCCAATTATAATACTCAATTGTTAATTTCACCATTTCTAATAATAGCGATTTTTTATGGGTCCCCATTGGAATTTTTTTTTTGGGGTCCTATAAGAGATAGTTAGTACCATAAAACGGTTAAATAAACAATTGAATATTATTGTTGAAAATCTCCAAAAGAGAAACAAAGTTTTCCGATCGATAAATATTGATTTTGAAAAAATCTATACNCAAACACTAACATATGTGTAAGCGCCAATCTATTATTATTATTATAAGAGATAGTTAGTACCATAAAACGGTTAAATAACCAATTGAATATTACTGTTGAAAATCTCCAAAAGAGAAACCAAGTTTTCCGATCGAAAAATATTGATTTTCAAAAAATCTATAGCACTTGTACAAAAACANAGACAAATGTATACATAAATGACCAGGATGAAAAGAGAAATCGATTAAGCGGTGACTGTCTGTCCGTCCGTCCATCCGTCCGTCCGTCCGTCTGTGCACACGATAACTCGAGTAAAAATTGAGATATCTTAACGAAACTTGGTTCGTGTACTTCTTTTGGGCATAGGACGGATGGTATTACCCATATAACGGTAATTTTCAGATATACGAAAAGTGCGATATTTTAGTA